ATTAATTTACGAACATCCGTTCGTCTTCGATAAATGTTCCTCAACCTAGAGCACCTATATTTTGCTAGCATGCTCAACTGAAACATGTGAGCAATTAGAGTTATGTTCACCTTTTCACACAACTTGGAGCCGGGAATTACGGGAGGAAAGTGAGGAGTCCTCAGTCTCAATGTAGTTAAGGGGTAATTACTTATGCCGGGAGGGGGGGAGGAGAGGTACGTAGAACCCCATACAATTAGCAGGTTAACCGCTGAGGCCTGCAAAAAGTTCCTCCGCGCGCACAGGGTTGGCTTACGTTATGTGATTACGGCTGTTTATGACGCTGGTCTAGCCATTTTGGGTAGCTCATTTGGACCCTTAGCTAGCCCAGAAGATGTCTTTTGGGGGCGATACGACTATCGCAGGGGGTTAAGTAAGTTAAACCTTAGCGACTGTGATATTCAGACCATGGTTACTTAGTAGAGAAGAAGTCGTCTTGGGAAGGCCAAATTGTTAGAAACAGTATATTTTGTACACAGAGGAACGAAGAATAAAAAGTGAGATTTTACTTGGAGGGCATACGACCAGCCAGGAGGCCGGGCGGGTCCAAGTGCTGGTTCGATAGCAGTCAGGCCAGTAGACAGAGAGAAAGAGAGAGAGCGTTTATTGGCTGGTTCGACCTTGATGGTTTTTGGCCAGACAGACCGAGAGAGCAATTCACGCGTGCAGGGTTACTATTCGTCGCCGGCCCAGAACGGCATCTATGCGGAAATTGTGATTGGCTGATCCAGGCGTCAAGAACCGCAGTCGTGAGATTCCAGCGAAGTTCACTTAGACTCCAGCTAGTCAGAACACGACGCTTGCAGTCAATAGCATGTCCAAAGATGGTGCCACATATGCTTCCAAATTCGCTACTTCTCAGTCATTGTGGGTGCTGTGTCAGAATTGGTGGATTCCATAGGTTTCAATAGGCTGGGCGGGTAACATAATCTAAATGTCGTTAAACTCACAACTCGCGGTGGGGACCTTGTGACTCAGATGGTTAGAGCGTTGTCTTTACTCTAGCTTTTTTCCCTTGTTATCGTGCTTTCGAATCCCGCCAAGACCGCAAGAGTTTCACAGTTGGGCCAAAAGGATTATTAAAATCAACCAAAAATACCAACTATGACCTTCATTAATGCCGTTCTCAATACTGGCGTTGTGGGTATTACTAAAAATATAGCTTTATTTAGAGACTGCTAAGTAGGAATGCCCTTCAACTATCTATTTGGATGCCTGGGCTGATTGCCGTGGACTTCTTTAGGGCATTATGCGTCATGACACCGAGAACGCTGTATGGTTGCATTTACTGTTTGAGTCTGCGTCCATGCACCGCCCTACCGAGTTGCTCTATTTGTACATCCTCGTGCTACTTTGCATTGTCTGTCTCACGTTGCCAAGCAATGAAAATAGTTGGAATCTCTCTATCCTCGAATAATGGGAGCTGGCTTGTGGATCCTTGACCCTGTGATTTCCTATTCAGTGTGACCTTCCTTCCAGCCTTCTCTCCCCCCTCATCCTTTCTGGCTTGTATCTCTGTAGCCCTAGACTGTCCGGTCGCCGGACGCTCTCGGCCTGAGTGGACTTTGGTGGGCAAGCTGACAGAACGCGGTGAGACGGTGCTCTTCCGGGAGAAATTCATCGACTGGCCCGACGGTTCCCGGTTTGCCATGCCCGGCAAGGCTGGATGCCAAAAATCTTCGGAGGTTTGTTGGTTACTTGCCGTTCCCCTCTACTTTTATTTACTCTCTCGTGTTCATCTCCCGCACCGTCCTCGTGATAAATTAACTTTTGTCCCACCTTCGCGTCTCTCTCTTTGCCATCAACCTCCCCTATCCCTCGGGATAGAAAGCAGGCAACAGCCCGGCCAATAAGCATTGTCAGCTCGTTATTGAGCCTGCATAATGCGACGCACGTTCCGTCTCACTACCATGATGCAATCCCACATGCTAATGACTAGTGACGGCTGCTATGGCCTGGGTATACGTGAGTTATAACCTAGCGAGGCAAATTGAATGTTAGTAACCGTTTGAGTTATTTACCGTCGTTATTCAGTCATACCTCAGGATCATCCCAAGTCCAATCTTCCACTGAGCTTAGTTGAAGTACTGGCCCATGCTGTGCTGTTCGCGACTAGAGGGAGGAGAGAGATTCAAGGTTGCGTAAGCGTAACATTTTCCATCGTGGTCTGATCGCAGGAAGGCATTTTGAAACTTCTTTTTTCTATATGCTGCTTCCTAATTATTGATTTCTTGCCCCTATCCCATCACAGACTCTGAACAAAGGCTCCAAATTAGTACTGGCAGAGTTGAATAATATAGTTGACTCATTTATGAGCAACTGGGTGGACTCGGTGGACTTCTAAACCATGCTAACAAGAAGACCTGAGTACAATAAACGTTCTAATCACCCAAGCAACGAGGCCCTGTAGGAGTCCAAGCCGTGATTGTGCTCAGAACACTACAATTATCACGCCCAGTTCCGTACAAGGAGAAGAGAGGTATGACCAGTAGGAGCTGTTTATTGTGTACAGGAAGTCAGTGGTGGTTTGAAGCACCGACGCGCGGCAGGCCTCGGGCCTTGTGCGCGCGCGTCTGTCTCTTAGTGTGCTGTGGGCGTAAGTGAATAAACGTCATGCGAGAGTGAGCCACTGGACATTTGATCAACTACTTGGCCAATAGAAGTCTGCGGCACCTGTGATTGGCTAGCCCAGAAGGAGGTAGAGTAGCGAAAGCCTTGCCCTTGCTGGCATGGGTTCGAACCCCAATCGAAGCCGTTGAGTTCTTCACATCTAGATCAAGGGAAAGGCTCCAAAAGGAAAAACAGAGGTTGGGTTTGTCTATTAGCCTACTATTAGGTCAGATCAGTGAACTCGCCTGCCACATGTCCTTCTAGGCGCCGCACTCTCCTCTTCTTTCTCAGGATGAGTTGAACTTCTAGACTTAGTCAGCCACTCAGTCATACATGCGCAGCACGCACAGGTAGGCCGCTTGACCTGTCCTGCGTGAATACTCATGCATGCGTGCGTGCGCTTGTACTTGCAGCTGTGTATGGCTACGGGTGATCAGCCATTAGTAGCTGTTACTGGCCTCACGTGTGCGTGCGCATGGAGAGTGCAGTTGTGCGTGTCCTTCCCCCCCCTCCCTCCCACACTG